TAACATAAAAAGTTATATTTTTTGCTTATCCTTCCTCACTGTCTGAATTCACTGCCTAGCTACTTCCTGTCTCTCCCTGATTTGTGTTGTTGCTGCTTTCTCCTTTCAAACATGCATCCATTCAAAAAGCAATGATGGAGGCTTAGGCACAGGCCCCAGGAATTTAACCCAGGGACACCCAACCACTGAGCCACATTCTCAGATTTTTTCAAATTTTTGAGGCAAATTCTCTCTAAATTGCTTAGGGCCTCACTAAATTGCTGGGGCTGGCTTCAAACTTGTGATCCTCCTGCCTTAGCCTCTGAAGTCACTGGGATTACAGGCATGCACCACTGCACCTGGCTGAGCTAGACACCCACCTTACGATGGCTTCCCATAGTGACATGCTTTGTGAAAGTCACCCCTCTCAGACCCCTTACATTGTATAAAATCTTTTCATAGGATTGATCTTCCCAACACCAGGTGGTGATGAAGACAGGTATTTATACCCCCTTTTTCAGGTGAGTGTATTGAGACTCAGAAAGATCAAGGGAGGTCAAAGTTGCATAGCCCACAAGAGGCAGGGAATAAACAGAACCTGGGTCTTGAGATTCTTAGTCCAATACATTTTACCACTGCTTAGAAAAATGCATGGCTCGCTTTCCCTGCGCTTGACATCTCTCTTGCTTTAGTTCTACCCTCTGTCCCTGTCCCAGGCTCCAGTGACAAACAGCAGCCCACAAACACTCCTGACTCCCAGCACTCCTGTAGGTTTGCAGCAAACAACCAGCTCACTAAAGAGCCCAGAGGTCAAAGCCACTTACAGCATAGGAGGGAGGTCTGAGGAGAGTGGAATAAAACTGCTGGCAATAGCGAAAATCCTGTTTAACAAGATTATTAATTATGGAATGTCAGCATCTTAGGCCCAGGGCACATGGAGCTCGTCCTTTTCTGCTTAGAAGGGATGGGATCTAATTTTCAAGATTTTTGACTCGTTCTTTGCTTTCAGAATTATTTTGTGTGACTGTTGAATCATGCTTGTCTGATGGAAGCCGCTGCAGGTTTTGCTTGTAACCCAACATATAGCAATGTCCCTTGCATCCTGGGCTCTTTCTTGCTTTCTCACTTGATCCTTCCTCTGCCAGTGGACTTTTTAATCCCCTTGTTATAGGACGTTCAGGCCTAGAAATGCCTTCTGGACCTCAACTCCTCTGTGGAGATAGTGAATTTGCCAAGAACCAGCCTTAATTCATTCTCTATAAATTATGTCTCAGAAACATGCCACCAGAAGCTGGAGTGGCTAGGAGTCTCAGGAAGCAGAATGCCTACATTCAAATTCTGGCTTTGTTTCTTGATAGCAGGTGGCTCTGGACATGCAACTTAACCTTATTATGCCTTGAAATAAGAATAATGTTAATAAGTGACATCCACCAAGCTCTTAGAAGAGTGTGTGGCAGATTACAAGTCCTATATATGGTAGCTATTATTCCTGGCATTAGATAGCAATTTTTATTAATGAATAAATCTGGACATAGGAAGTAGCCCAAAGGTACACAGCTGATAATGACTGAAAAAGCCGCAGGTCATCCTGGAGTTAAGAGGACAGGTTGGGAAATGAAGCAGACTTGGGGCTAAAGCTTGACTCTGCCACTTAGTAGTTCTGTGATCTTGGAGCAAGTCAGTTAACACCACTGAACCTCAGTCTCTTCATCTGTCAAATGGGCATGCTGACACTTCCTGTGTTTAAAGTACCTGGCCCAGATGGATGCTCACACACAAGATCACCACTGCAGCAGCCCATTTAGGTGTCTGGCTCCACCTGAGCCCTGCAGGTGGCACAGCCAGGATGGGATTGCTCCCTAGGGTTGGCTTTCAGGGAATAGCTTCCGTGAGTCTTTCAAATTGACAGGCCTCACTGCAGTTGCCTTGGAGGATCTGGGTTTGATTTGAGAACTTGCTCTCCTGGAAGGGCATCTCCAGAGGCCAGTGGGGCATGGGGTGCAGAAAGGGGAGCAGGAACTTCGCCTGCCTCTGCCTGGGTGTTCCTGTGTATCAGCTCTATCAGCAGCTGCTAAAGAAATGTACAAAACAGCCTTTCTTTGTATCATGGTTCCCACTTGGCCCAAATGTTTTTCTCCTGGAACCCGTTTGGCAACATCGTTCCAAAGCATTGGAGCAGACAGGATTGGAAAGTGTAAAGTCAGAAACACTACTCCAATAGGTTCCCCTGGGTAGTCCACATGACTCTGTGCCCTTCCCCTCCCCTGTCCCTCTCAAGTCCTGAGGGATGAGACATCTCCTGCTTACCCTTCCCAGAGCCATCTCTGGGCCCTAGTTATTGTAGAAATTACCCCATGGTCATGGCTGCCAGGCTATCTTCCAGGGAGGACGTCACTGCCCACATGCCAGCTGCCCCAGGCAGCCTCTGAGGTCTGGAATGGAGCCACATGGAAATTATTCCATTAGGGCAGTCCCTGCCTCACTGGGCACACCCTGTTATACAATAGGGAACCCTGCAGTATGCAAAAGGGGGCTACCCTGTTGCCATAATGAGAAATCATCTAATAGCTCATTTGTTTAGTGCTTTCTGTAGGCCGGGGATTGAGCACTTTGTATTCAAGCTCTAACTTAATCATGAAAGCAACCATGGTCATAATACTTATATGAATTTGTAAAGTCCAATTCACTCAAATCATGGAAAAACTACTATCTAGTAAGCATTAGCTGAGGGCCGGGGGTGGATAACAATATTAATACAATATAGTCCCAGTCTTTAAGGAGTAACTGCCTAGCCTTAATCCTCCAATGTTGGAAACTGCTTTGTGTCTCTTATCTGCCAGATTTGAATTCCAGCTCTGTCACTTCCTAGCTGGGATAAGTTACTGAATCTCTCTGTGCCTTGGTTTCCCCCTTTTTAACTAGGCTTGATCATCATAGAACTTACCTCTTAGAGTTGTTGTGAAGATTAAATGAGATAACTCATGAAAAGTACTGGGAGCTCTGACTGAATTAATGCTAGCCACATGTGGATGGGCTTCAGGAGGTCTGTGAAATTTTAGGCAAATGGTGGATGAATTGATGTGTGGTTGTTCATCTCTCAAAAGAAAGAGGACTTGACCTTGGAACCTGAAAAAGGTGAAATACTCCTGACATCAAGTTCACATGGACCGCTGATCCTGGAGACCTGGTTGATTCACTTCACCTACTGAGGAAGGCTTTGAAAATAGCACCCGCTTCTTCTCCTTGAGCCATTTCAGAAAGACACCACAATCTAACCACTCGGGACTTGGGGACACCTCCTGAGGTTCATGTCGCACTAAACTTGGAGGACACTTTAGATATTATCTCATCTAAAGTCACAAGTTTACACATAAGAAGTCTGAGCTGGTGATTAAGTCTTACTTCTTCCAAAGATAATAGCTCAAAAAATGGAGAGTTCACTGATTTCCAAGTCCGGTCAGGGGAGGTTGGCCAACACCTGTCCTTTTCCCTTTAGGATTATCAGAATCAGTAGGATATGGTGTATTTGAAAGGACATAAAAATGTGTTACCATTGTAGGTGTTATTATTTCCATGGGCTCCTGCTGTTATTAGTTAGGTTAGACAGGATTCTCCAGAGAAACAGAACGAATAGAATGCATCCGTGAGTGAGTGTGTGTGTGTGTGTGTGTGTGTGTGTGTGTGGAGAGAGAGAGAGAGAGAGAGAGAGAGAGAGAGAGAGAGAGAGAGAGAGAGAAGGGAATGGGCTTCTGTGGGGATTGGCAAGTCTGAAATTTGTGGTGCAGGCCAGCAGTCTGGAAACTCAGGCAGGGTTTCTATGTTAATGGTGTTGAGGTGGAATTTCTCCAGGAAACATCAGCTTTTACTCTTAAGGTCTTTGACTGTTTGAATGAGGCCCACCTACATTACAGAGGGAAAATCTCTTACTGTAATTCAGCTGATGGTAAAGTGTTAGTCACATCTCCACATCATAGCTGGCCACCTGGCACAGAAGTGGCAGTTAGTCTTGGGAGACCTGAACTGCAAGGCTCTTGTGTACTGTCTGGTCGGTGACCAGCAAAGGAAAGGGCTCCGTGAAGAGGGTGAATTGGCTGTTCAGTACCCTGGGGACCTCATTCGGGTTAATCACTGCATTTAGGTTAATCACTGCACTGTTGACCTTCACAGAACCTAGTGAGAGGCAGGCGTAGCTAATCAGAAAACAGGAAACGTCCCAAAGAATGCCCTCAGTCTTGGTCCAAAGTTTCTGCATTTGAGTCAGTTGTTTTGTTCAGGGCTGTAAGTACTTAATTCCTTTCCATCGGAAGGAACAGTCATCTTAATAAAATTAGAGGTGGCGGCAGAGGAGGTAGGTGATGCAGAGAAGGGAGGAGGGTTGCCTGTGGTTAATCAGATGTTTGGTGCCTGCATCTTTGACCTTGAAGCATTTGACCAATCAAATAATTGAATAATAGTAATATCTGACTCTGTGGCTGCTGATAAGGAACTAATTTATCATTTTTTTTGTTTGCTAACTTTTTTTTATGTGTGAGAATAGGATTTTAATAAAAGATAATGCATTCACATTTTGATTCTAATCAGAGACTCCTCCTTGGAAGGGTTCGGGCTGGGTTTCCCCAGAAGGGGAGGAGCTCATGCTAACTACTTACACATTTTCCTTTCTAGTCAAGGAAATAGGAGTGTGCAGGGGGCAAATATAAGGGCTTGGAGTGAGACTAGACCTGGTTAGAGGGCTTCCTCCTAGCCCTATGATCTTGGGCAAATTACTTAACCATTCTGGACTCACTTTACTTATCTGCAAACTGGAGATACTAACAGTGCCTACCCAACAGGTTTGCTAGAAGGAATAAGTGAAATGAGGCATGGAAAGGGCTTAGCAAAGCCTGGCTTACAGTGAGCATCCCCTAGAGGGTAAGACCTTCTGCAGCAACACCCTGCACCTAGTGCTTGGAGCTACAGGAAGTTCCTCCTTAGTAGCTCCACCCAGTCTGAGGTCAAAGGCTTCTGCTGAGACTTGACTTCTCCCTTTTGTTCTCAATACAAAACTAAATCATATGTTCTGGAAATGTATTAAGAGTTGTTGGCAACTGGGTTTTTATCATTGAATTATGAATTTATTGAATTTTCTTAAGCCCATACTCTAATATTCTCCTCTTTTAAGTGACTCCTATCAGTCAAATGAAGCTTAGTGGAAATTTAAGACTTTACAGTATGACCATTACCTCTCCCTCAGCCCTCTACTCCTTTCCACAGCCAGTTGTGTGTGCAGAGTCCCCAGACATAACCAGCTCTCCCCTCCTCCACAGCTAACCCACCCACCTGGTGGCCTGTATCTGGAATGAGCTTTTCTTCTTAGATCTGCATTTTCAATCCCTCCTTGTCAATCATTCCCAAACTCCACCTCTGCTTCCTCGGTACCCAGGTTGGATACATAGAATTTTTGGATTTGCCCATTTCACTCTTTGGACCTTGAAGGTCCAAAGACCTTCTTTATGACTTAGTTCTCACCCACCAGTCCCTGGTTAGTGGTACCATTTTATGTGTGTTGAATGCAGGGATTCCTAACCTTTTTCAAAGGTCACTAACTTACTTGAGAATCTGTGAGAATAGTGAGTTCTCTCCCCCTGAAAAACTCAGAGGCAATATTTTGTATATTAGAACAAATACTCTTTAGAGAGTTTCATGATGCCCTGAAATCTGTTCAGGGGCTTCCCTGTGGTCACTGCCCAAGAATCCAGGTTCCTTACATATATTATATGTACATATCTTCATTATCCAATGTTCTGACAGCCTCCAAAGAGGTGCTGTGGTGTGTGGAAAACCCTCAGGTGTTGGAACCAGAGAGATGTAGTTTCAAAATCTGACTGTTTCCCATTAATTGTGTCATCTTAAGCAAGTTGATTGCTCTTGGTTTTCTTGTCTGTAAAACGAGGATGACCTTGAAGGTATCATAATGGATAGACACTGCAGCAGAACACACAGCCTGGCACCTAGAAATGATTACTTAGATGGAGTTGCTACAATTATGTGGAGAAATCATTTTGCCCAATTCCACTGTAGTTAAAAATTCTTTGCATGGCTCCTCTTTCCTCTCAAGAACATGTTCTCTTCCTGTAACCAGAGGAGAGAAGAGTTTATGTCAGATGAGAAGAGAGATGGGTGGGTCCAGTATGGAAGTGTGGGAGGGATAATTTCTGGACAGCTTACAGGTGGCAGCAGAATCAAATCCAGTGAGAGGCCCTGTTGACCTCACAGACAGACCACATTTGGAACTAGCCAGTGAGGTCTAGGCACGAGCCCATGAGTAGGATCATGCTGAAGCTTAGAAAGGGAAGCCCATTGGACTATATGATGCCCACTCAAGTGGAAAAGTTAATGCTTAGCAGAGGGAGGGTCATGACTCATGGCCTTACAATGTTGAGGTCTTGGAAGAATGAGGTGGTTAGTCCCACAGACAGCTGGGAGCCAAAGCAATGTGACATTCAGTTGAACAAAACCAACTGCCTCCTATACTCCACAGTGGCAGAGGGGAAGCAATGGCCCAAGCATGGTTCAAAGTGTAACCACTGATGTGACACTGCCTGGGTTCAAATCCTAGCCTTGCCCCTGACTGATAGGTGATTTTGAATATGGTATTTTAACTTCTCAGTGTCCTTAGCTGTGAAAGGGGAGTGACAACAGTAATATATACCATTTTAAGAAAATAGAATAAGAGAGGTGTTGAGCTGTTCCTTGGTGAGCCCTTATTTTTTCAGGGCCCCGGTTTGGGGTGCCCTTTTAACCCATGGCCGGACATCTGGCTTCGGACTTTGCCTTCTCACCCCCTCCGGGCGGTGGGGGTGATGGGCCAGGAGGGCCAGAGCCGGGCTGGATTGACCATCGGACCTGGCTAAGCTTCCCAGGCCCTCCCGGTGGTCCAGGAATCGGGCCAGGAGTTGGGCCAGGTTCGGAGGTGTGGGGGATTCCCTCATACCCTCCGCCCCACGACTTCTGTGGAGGGATGGCATACTGTGGACCTCAGGTTGGAAAGGGCCTGATCCCCCATGGTGGCCTGGAGACCCCTCAGCCTGAGGTTGAGGTGGGAGCTGGGATGGAGAGCAACTCTGAGGGGGCCTCCCCCGAGCCCTGCATTGCTCACCCTGCTGTTGTGAAAGTGGAGAAGGAGAAGGTGGATCAAAACCCTGAGGAGTCCCAAGATATCCAAGCTTTGCAGAAAGAACTTGAGGAATTTGCCAAGCTGCTGAAGCAGAAGAGGATCAATTTGGGATATACTCAGGCCGATGTGGGGCTTACCCTGGGGGTTCTCTTTGGGAAGGTGTTCAGCCAAACGACCATCTGCAGCTTTGAGGCTCTGCAGCTCAGTTTCAAGAACATGTGCAAGCTGCGGCCCCTGCTGCAGAAGTGGGTGGAGGAAGCAGACAACAATGAGAACCTTCAGGAGATATGCAAAGCGGAGACCCTACTGCAAGCCCGGAAGAGAAAGCGAACAAGTATCGAGAACCGAGTGAGAGACAACCTGGAGAACATGTTCCTGCAGTGCCCAAAACCCACCCTGCAGCAGATCAGCCACATTGCTGAACAGCTAGGGCTTGAGAAGGACGTGGTCCGAGTGTGGTTCTGTAACCGGCGCCAGAAGGGCAAACGATCAAGCACTGATTATTCCCAACGAGAGGATTTTGAGGCTGCAGCTTCTCCTTTCTCAGGGGGACCTGCATCCTTTCCTCTGGCCCCAGGGCCCCATTTTGGTACCTCAGGTAATGGAAGCCCTCACTTCACCACACTCTATTCCCCGGTTCCTTTTCCTGAGGGGGAAGCCTTTCCCTCTGTCTCTGTCACCACTCTGGGCTCTCCCATGCATTCAAACTGAGGTACCTGCCTTTCCCAGGTACGGGGGCAGAGGAAAGAGGAGCTAGGGAGAGAACCTGGAGTCCGGACCAGGGCTTTTGGGATTAAGTTCTTCATTCACTAAGGAAGGAATTGGAAGCACAAAGGGTGGGGTGAGGAGTTGGGGAACTGGTTGGAGGGAAGGTGAAGTTCAATGATGCTCTTGATTTTAATCCCCACATCACTCATACTTTGTTCTTAAATAATAAAGAAGCCTGGGACACAGTAGATAGATAAATTTGTCTTTGGTTTATCCTCTTTTAATTATTGAAGGGCACTAGAGAAATCTGGTGTTAGATACTAACTGCTGTCATACCTGTGACCCTGAAACTGACATGCCATTTCAACTATTCAAGATCTTTCCAGCAACTTGGGAGGCTGAGGCAGGGGGCTCACAAGTTTGAGGCTAGTCTCAGCAATTTAGCAACACCTTATCTCAAAATAAAAATGGACTGGCTTAAAAAAAAAAAAAGAAAATAGAATAATACTTCTAGCATTTGTCATGCAGAGATTAGCTTTTATTTTGGTAAATCTTTTAGAGACAGCCTCCCAGGGCTCCCAAGAGAAGCCCTTGCTCTTTGGACTTTGCTCCAAGGAAACTTGAAGCACTGGCTACATTTACTTATTTACTTCTCTAGGTAGGGTCAGGAGTAAAATGATCCCCAAATCCATCATGCTGGTCCTAGATAGTGCTCCTCTTCTAATTCTCTTGATTTCAGGCCTGTGGGAGGGAGTCCTATCTCATCTTTAAGCTGTGTTGAGGTTTTGTAACTCTGGAAGTCAGGATGGGCTTCAGGGCTGAGATTCCAGGTTTCGGTCAGGTACCCTTGCCACACTGAGCTCAGACACATTTTGTAACTCTGAAACTCAGTCTCCTCATCTATTCAGTGGTTGTACCAGCATCTCAAAGATCATCTCTGTTGGCTTCTTTTTGCAGCAGGCAGGAGATGCAGAGGCCCCAGGAGATCTGCTTGAGGGAGGAGCAGAACATCACAGCACTCCATGATTTTGAATCCCTTGAAGACCAGGGGATGTGAAAGATGTTTTAAGCCAAAAAAAATGTCATTTCATTGGGAAGGCAGATAGATATCAAGTGGTCCCCATCGTAGGCAGATGAATGAGGAAATGTAGACACATATTAGGCTCTCGGCTAATGTTCTTTGAAGGAATGAATGAATTTTAAATGCTCTTTATTTCTCATTGATTGAATCTGTAATTTTTTTATTTGCAGATGAGAAAAAGAAAACGAAGAAAGTCGATAATGAACTCAATCCTGTCTGGAATGAGGTGACTTTGTGATTTTTTTTTTTTCAACTTTGCTTTAATGGATAAGCTACTTCTTTGGATCAGAAACTAACTCTTCCCTTTGGAAAGAGAATTTCCACCCTACTCACTCCAGCTCCCCTTCTTTCCCCAAGACAGTAGCACACTTCAAAGAGGTTGGCCCACCAATGACTGTCTCCTGCATGGGGTGGTGTGGTGAGCTAAACCTGGCCTGGGAATCAGGAGGGATGATGTCTCTCCTGGCTCAGCCGGGAGCTTGCTGCGTGAATATGGTCCACTTCTGTGGCAAGAGGGAGGACTAAATCAACTCCAGAATCTCAGAAAAAAAGCTCATAATTAAAAACATATCTGCGTGTGGTTAAACAAGAGCATATCACATGATACTTTTTGTGTATCTAGCTGAGTAATGACGTTGATTTTTTTATATTGAAAAAAGTGATGTATACTTAATATAGAAATTTTGAAAACTTCAGGTGAACATTATAAAATTAACTTTGATCCCACCCTCAAGAAGTAAGTAGGTAACATCTGTGTGTATCAATAAGTGTTTTTGAGTAAATACAGTTAATGAATATGACTTCTGAAATACAAACTATCAAATACAAGTTCCTATCCTACTTCTTCTTGCTATTGTATCCCAAGCATATGCTTATATCACTCAATTCAAAAGCATTTTTAATGATTAGGTAATATTCTATTGAAAGGATATAATATAACTTATTTGTCCATTCCCCACCCCTCTGTTGACTTTATATCTATTTTCTAAATGGTTCTGTGTTTAGTATTTTCATAGATATGTGAAATTTTTTATTTTTCCTACTGAGTAGGATTTTCCTACTCTGACTAATTTTTCAAAAGTTGATCATCAGCGCCATTGTTTATTTCAAAAGCTGGGGCCAACCTCCCTGCACAAGATCAGTAATAAATGTCTTTGTTGGTTTCACTGAGTCACCAGGCTATAAAAACTTCCCCTCCACCCACTCTGGATCCCTTCTTCCCCCAACTAGTCTCACTATCTCTCCAAGACTAGGGGAGCATGCTATCACAGAATGAGATAAAGATGAAAGCTTCTTACTGCCTATCTGGAAAGCCCTGCTTGCCTCAGGCAGGTTGCAAGGGAAGTCCACATCTCTGTGATTTCACAGGAACCCAGAGCAGCCAAGTGGACCCCCAGGTGCCACAAGAATAAGAGACCTGCCTGGTCGGTCACTGTGAGTCCCTAGCACTTGACACAGAGCTCCAAGAATAAAACAAAGACAAAATATGTTTATTCTGTGTGTTTTTATTGCTTCAGGTTTTGAACCATCCTGACATGTCTATTTTTGAGCTCAATCCACATGACCAGTGGCAAAGAGATGGGTTGTCATGTGAACTGGCATGTCTTCTACAGGCTTCTTCCATCTCATTCCATTTTGCTTTCAGCATGGTTTTTGGTTTTGTGTTTTTTTTTTTTTTTTTTTTGCTCATATTGCAAGTTTACTTATCAAGTAAACTTTCCAACTACATTTTATAACTGAAACCAAACCCAAATGAAATGCCAACCTCAAGCCCATGGGGATTAGTGTATATGTTCTCATGTGAGGTACAACACAAGTTTTCCTTCCATTCCAAACCCACTGCAAAGAACCTCAAACCATTATTTGATTTATTTAATGTGTTTATTACCTAGCCAATCAGAGGCATCAATGGTGCTCTCCTGATTTTCTTTGCACTTTTATTAGAAAGCAATCCATTGCATTTAAAACAGGAAACTTGGAAAGATCTTGACTACAGCATTGACCACAGTGGAACTTCAAATAAGGGGCTGATATATTTTAGAAAATGCTTTCTTAGATTATTCCTCTTCCTTGTGTGATAATGATATAATTAAGACTAGCAAATCACTTAAAAATAAACTTTGAAGAAAGTATTTTCACAGATAATATTCCATCTTATTCTTGCAACAGCTGTGGTAGGCATTAAGTCCAGTTCTGACCATGAGTCAGCGGTTCAGTGACCTGTCTGAAGCCACAGAACCAAGGACATGGGAAAGTTGGAGCCACCTGCAGGTTCTCTGAGTGGAAGGCTGGTTTGAGTCTCATACCCCTCAGCAGCCTCCAGGCATAGAATTCAATAGTTTCTACCTAATTATAGAATTGAGTAATTAGAGACACTGTTGTGGATGAAAATATTGTCCCAACAGGCAATACTGTGCATTTTATTATGTTCTTTGATGCTCTCAACAGCCTTCTTATTTTCATAACCTTTATGTGAACAGATTTTGGAGTTTGACCTGAGGGGTATACCATTGGACTTTTCATCTTCCCTTGGGATCGTTGTGAAAGATTTTGAGACAATTGGACAAAATAAGTAAGTTACTTTCAACAGCTTTTTTCATTCTACATATCATCTCAATATTGTTCATTTTGTTGACAATCACACTTGATAATATTTCCAATGTAACAGTGCTTTAATTCCATGCTCCTACTCCCTTAGGAGCCAATATCAGATATGACTAATCAATCACAGCACTTTTTTTCCAATGACTGAAGTATGTCAAAGAGTCTGCAAACACCATGAGTCTATCCTGCAACTTCTTTGTTAACTGTACATAGTTGCTTCTCACTTTGGGTTGTTTATCTGAGCTGTGGCTATATTGGACACAACACCAATTCTTCCTTTTTCTGATTATGTGTCACCTATATACATCATTATACTGTATCTTTCAGATTCACATGGGAGTTATCATGGTAGTGCCCAGGGTGACACCAAGGATTGTCTTCTGGGTAAATTTGGGTGGGGAAGTTCCAAAACTGGTCCCCATGAGACAGAATGACCTTATTAAATTCAAACCAGTCCTGGAGCTGTACTTTGGTCATGTAGACTTAGAACCTAGACTTATTACCAGTTCACACTAACCAAGTTCCCAGGAAACTAATACTTATAACCAGAATACCTACTTGTTGTTTTGTAATGGGAATCAATTACCTGATGGGTGGGCATGGCTACTCTGATTCATGAATTTTTTTTTCAAGCCATACTACATGATAAGCTAGATTACTCTGTATCCTTGATTGTAAGTATCATGGTTCATAAGATGTGCTATTAAATTAATAACAGGTTTGGGAAGAGACAAAAGGATGAATATTTAATACCTACATCAATTGTAAGAAACATTTCAGTTTTCTATAATTAGTGCATTTAAAAATGCATGTCTTATGGGCTGGAGTAGTGGCTAGGTGGTAGAGCACTTGCCTGGCATGTGTGAGGCCCTGAGTTCAATCCTCAGCACTGCATATAAATAAATAAATAAATAAATAAATAAATAAATAAATAAAATAAAAGATTCATTGACAATTGAAAATATTAAAAAAATACGCACGTCTTAGTTCAGGCACATTTGGTACAATCAGAAGGCTGTAATGAGAGCAATAAAGTAGGATGAGTTAGTTGAGTTAGAGTGACCATGTGCTCTAATTTGTTTGGGACAATCCTGTTTACTGTCGCAGCCCAAGGATTAATAATGTCCCTTTTGCTGTCAACAGTAGCTTGGTTTGGACAGGAAATCAGGTGGTCACCCCAATCACTGGGGTCTTCCACTTAAGGGTATCAGACTCAGCCTGGTCAGACATCTGCTCCCTAGAAAGTACACTGATAGAAACTGTCATGTTTGTCTTTGATGTGATCCTTTCTTCTGTGTTCAGTTGCGGCCAATACCCTTGTGGCTGATTTGGTTTTTTCCCTTAAACTATACATTCTGGAAAGTTCTTGTCCCATCAGTCTTACAACGAAAACTACTTTAGCTTTTTAAGGTTATATTGCACATCTCAGCTTTGAATCATTATGTGATTTTTTTTTTTAAATCTCTCACCCCAAATCCCAGAAGACAGTTTTATTTCCCATATTTCAAAGTTCTGGGGAAGTGGGCACTAGAGCCTCACAGTAACCTCTAATTGTTACTAATAATAGTCTTTTCTCTTCTTTGCTTTCCTCTTTCCGAGAATGGAACCACTGTTGATATTCTAGGCCAGCCCTCTCCAATAGAATATAGGACAGAGTGTACATGCAACTCAAAATTTTCCTGTAGACACATTGGCAAAAATAAAATGAAAACAGGTGAAATTAATAATATTTTTTGTTTGTTTGTTTGTTTGTTTCGGTAGTTTTAGGATGGAACCCAGGGTCTCACCCATGCTAAGTCACTGAACTACATACAACCCCAGCCCCTAATATTTTTAAACCAGTATATCAAAAATATTATCATTTCTACATGTATCCATATTTTTAAAATCATCCAAGATATTTTACATGCTTTGTTTTCCTTATTAAGTCTTTGAAATCTAGAATGTGTTTTACCCTTATAGCACGTCCAATTTGGACAAACCATACTTCAAGTTCTGCATAGACACGTGTTTGGAGGCCACCATATTGGATTGGCTAGTTCTGTACCACTGGGCTCAAAACTCAGACCTCTCTGGATCCTCTCCCTTTTGCTTCTTGTCTAATATATTTCTAAATCTTATGTTTCCTTCCTTTCTGTGATCTGTGCCATGTGTTTTTATCCCTGCCCATCGCTGGAAGTCTGGTTCAGATCTCTACCATTTTGTGCCATGGCTATTTAGCATGGTAGCAGAGCCTAGTGGTCTGCCTCCCAGCTCCCATCTGTCTTCAGCTAAGTCCTTGCTTTCCTGTAGGTTACACATTTGAGGGAAAGACAAAAACAAATAAAATAAATATGTATCTAGTCAGGTATACTGTGAAGTGCTGTGAGCTTAGGAGGAAGCTGTTATATCTTACAAAGAAGAATAAAGCAGAGTAAAAGGTTAGAGAGTGATTGAGGGTAGGAATCAGGGGGGGATGCAATTTTATATGAAGTGCTGACAAGATTACATTTAAGTAGAGACCTAAAATGAAGGAATGAGCTGTGCAGCTCTCTGGGGGAAAAT